AACACATTAATAAACAATGAACCACGGCGCTCTGGAGAAAAGTATAAGGTTGGAGAAGTCGTTATTTAATTTAATCTGGCTTCGTCTGATTAAAAGCAACACGATCATCGACCCAACGCAGTCCCCCATTGTTGTTGTTGTGAGCGCCGTTGGGGAGAAAATCAGCGACGTAAACGGCGACGTCATGGCGCAGCCGCGGCAGCACCAGCCGGGCTCTGGGCGGTGTGAACAAAACGGGGGCTGAAAATAAAAAACGGTTCCGAACCAGAAAAGCTATAGCACGAAAGCTAGAACGGGAGCTGCGTACCAACGCAGCTCCCGTTCTAGCTTTCGTGCTATAGCTTTTCTGGTTCGGAACCGTTTTTTATTTTCAGCCCCCGTTTTGTTCACACCGCCCAGAGCCCGGCTGNGGGGACTCGCACATGTGCGGAGTACTACTGTCGGCCTCACTTTGCGTCGCACACCTCCAAAGGAGCGTCGGGAAAGTGCGTCGTTCGCGCGCTCCCGTTACCGCACCGAGCAGTGGTACTGCCTGGTAATGTCGTGTAGTGTCTCTTCGGTCTTGCCCCCCTTACTTGTCATAAGGTCCGACTCACGGGGGTCGCCTTCGCGGGCGTCGCGGTGCCGCGGTCCCGAGCGACGTCTTCGGACGACCAAAATTGGATAGCCAATTAATTGGACGTCTCGAGCGATTAATTCGGCCGACGGTGATTAGACAACTAATGTCGTCCCGAGCGACGTCTTCGGACCGGGCAAACTGACACATATGACGACTCACGCGCAAAGACAGACCTCATGCGGAGGCAGTGTGCCAGTATTATTTGGGTACTCGCGCAAACAGACACACACACCAGCACACACACACACATACGCACGACACAACACACACAGCACACACGTACACACAACGCACACAACACACACTCGTTCTCTCTCTCTCTCACTCTCTGACGACGACTCGTCTCCCATGCAGACCCTCGAGACACGCGGAGTGGTCGCCCGCCCTATGCGCGCGGGCCCGTAGCGCCGTGCTACAGACACTCGTAATGACACTCGACGACTTAGACACTCACTTTCATAAAAACGGTCGCACGGCATACCACACCACAGCACTCCGCGACCCTGGCGCTCTCACGGCCGACACTACAGACACAACCACACTCACACACATACACGACACATACACGACGTCACAGACGCTCTATGTACTCGCAAACACACGTAACACACACCTTGACACAGATCGTCACGAACGCACGCACTCAGACGGCCACACATACATCACTCTCTGCGTCTCGAGCGCACGCACGCGCAGACGACACACTATGCACACGACGTGGACCAGTACTATTATACGTACTCACGGCAATCACACACAGAGTACACCGTCGTGCTCGTGTGTGGAGCACATAGGTAGACTCACACATACGCACTACTACACACACACACACACTAGCGGTCGACACACTTACGCTACACAGCACCCTCCTCTATCACATACGAGGTTCGGGTGAAACGTACACACACAGCATTAACTCGCGCGGGACACACACACACACACACCGTGTGTGCAGTGCTGTCCACATGAGGCGTTATACCGGCGCTCATGGGTTATTATGACCGTGTGTAGGAGGCGTATCTCGGACAGGGGAATGCCGCGAGCTCTGCAGGTTTATTAAACGATAGGTTAAAACCAGCAGGCTTCTGCAGGGAGCCCTGCTGTCTACTTAATCAACAGATTAGTGGCAGCCGGCTTAATTACCGGCTCCGCTTCCTCTGAGGCCCTCGCGGAGCAGACCAGGAGCGGGGGAGCCTCACTCCCCTTTGACTCGCCACCGGGAGACCCTGTCTCTGGGGTGGCGGAGGAGCGGAGACGTGGGACGGAGCCCCTGCAGCCGCCGGGGCGGTTGCTGTGGGCGTCTCTCCGCTTGCGGCCTCCTGTGGCCGGCGTGGACGCCGCGGCTGCTGCGGGCGTTGGTGCCGCTGTGGCAGCTCAGCCGACTGGAGCCAGCTGTACATGCTGGCGAATGCCGTCCACCTGTTCCGCGGCCGTCTTCATGGACTCCACCATGGCGTGGAACTGGTGTCCGAACAGCCCGTCCGGGCTGATTGGAGCGTCCAGTAGCACTTTTCTGGCCGTCTCCGTAACAGACGCTGCCGCGCTGTGGTGACGGAGAGGGGGAAAGCATGTTCGGCCGCCAAGCTGGCACCCTGCTCCGACTCTGTCTCCCCCGTCCGGGGGAGAGGAGGGAGGGGAGAACCGAACGGTGAACCGTGGAGGGAGGCGGGGCAGGAGTTGCTTCGGACTCCTGCCCGGCACTCTGCCCCAGGGACACGAGGCCCCGTCCGCGGGCTCGTAAGCCTGGACGGGCCAATCGTCCTCCTCGTCCACAGCAGCAAGAGTGTCTGCTCTCCGCGTCCTGTCGCCCGAGGGGAGACAAGCGCAGTGCATGCTACCTGCTGGTTTAGAGCCGCGTACGCGTGCTCTGACCCCCGGCAGGATTCGCATACTGCTTTTATCTCTGCAGCTCATAACTCATTATGAACCCAGAGCCACATGAGGGACAATCACGGACGCAGTTGTTGCTCATGATGATTCTCAATTGCTGTGCTTCAGTAACTGTGCTGGTTTGCTGAAAAAAAGAGGGAGCAGATTGCCGGGCCTCCTTCCTATTTATACCGGAAGAAGGCCCGAGGGCGGGGCCCACCTTGCGGGTGTGCGTAGACTACAAGTGTTTCAGTGCTGCGCAGGTGTGCGGGGCGCAGGGGATTACCCAATAGCGATAGCCTTAGAGGGCGAAGCCATATACGGAAATAGAACTATGCCCGGAGCTGTCCGCACCAGGTCTCCTGTGTACATAGGGGAGGACCCGCCCCTATCGCTGCTGTGCAATCACGATTGCATGACACATGCTGGCTCCTGTCAGGTTCCCCGTGATTGGCCGAGAGCTTATTCAGTCCCCAGTTTACTGTACAAAGACCCTGTCAGCAAGGAGAGCAGGCTGCGATATTATGAGAAGACCATGCGTCTATAGGCTCGACATAAAATTGATCTTTTGTAACTCGAGCCTAAAAGAATCCGCATGACAAGGACTGCAAAAAAAAAGTCTGAGGATACAGGCACTTCAGACACAGTTGAACATGAAGTGGCTAGTCTGCGTGACCTGCTGGCCAGAGTAGTACTGAGGTCAAGCAACAGGAGAGAAGGACCCAAAAATCTGCGATAATGATCTCAAGTTTGGTTTTCCCCCGGAGACAGACTGGCATTGAATTTCCAATGTGTGTCATTTGCGTCTAATGTTCTTTCAAATGAATCGAGCTGGCGTCAAAGAACAGGAGACAGGGTGAGATTTTGGCAGCGGACGGGCTCTGGGTACGGACGTGGTCTTATCTGAAGATCGACATATAAATTCATACAAATGAAAACTTTACTTCATCTTAAGTGAAGGGAGTGGAGTGTGTGTCGGTGTGTGTGCTGTTTGTGATCATGAGGTCAAAGTGGTGTGTGTGTAAGTGTGTATGTTTATGTGATGTGTGTGTGTGTTGTGGGGAAACATTGAGTGAGTGTTCCGAGCTCTGGCGTTGATGTGAGTG